TTTTTTTTTCTTTTTCATTTTTTTTTTTTCATTTATTATTGTTTCAGTGAAATAATGGTATAATATTAAAAAAAAAAATTTATTTCTCTAAAAATAATTAAAGTTATTAAAAAAACGCTAAATGACAAAAGGTTCTATTAACTTGAAACAAATAAGATATAGTATTTTTCTAAAATTGATATTATCATTTACATATTTTGAAATACATATATACATATATATATATATATATTTAAATATTTTTTATGTTAACACAGTGAATAAAGAAGAAATATATATACTGTTTCACAGTTTTCGATTATAATAAGAGAAAAAAATATATTAAAATTGTGAAAAATGTTTTTTTCACATTAGTATAACAAAGAAAAAATGATTTTTTTTATTAAGTCAGATTCTTATATGTATAATTTAGTCCATCATTTAAAACTTCTTACCAGAAATATTCAGAACATTTTTGTGTGTGCACTATTTTAGTTTAAAAATATTTGCTATATATATTTTTTTTTTTTTTTTTTTTTTTTTTCATAAAGACATTAAACATTTTGTATTTTTTTTTTCTTTTGAGTTTTCCTTTGATATAAATATAAATATACATTTAATATTTTTAGTAAAAACATGCTTTAGTATTTTACCTTTTTTTTTTTTTTTTTTTTTTTTTAGGAAGACTTTTGTCATATATTTAAAAATACTTATTTATGCAAAATATAAATATTTAAAAAAAAAAAAAAAAAAAAAAAAATAATTTAAAAANTAAAAAAAAAAAAAAAAAAAAAAAAAAAAAGATAAAATATGAAAACTTGTTTAATATTTTTTTTTTTTTTCTAAATAAACAAATTGATCAAAAAAAGGTGTATAAAGAATAAAAACATTTTGTATAAAACTAATTTTATTTTTTACATTATTTTTATTTATCAAAATTTATAAATTTATTAAAAACATGAAAAAATAATGAATTTTTTTTAAACTGCTTGTTGGACTAAACAGTTTTTTTTTTTTTTTTTTTTTTTTTTTTATAATTTTTAAACAAATATTATATATGTATATATATGATTACATGTTATATATTTTATTTAATTTCTTTTTTTTTATTATTTATAATTACATTATTTAATATTATGAAAACTTAATTTTTTATTTTATACAATTTTATATATTATATATAAATATATATATTTATATATATATATATATATATTTTTTTTTTTTTTTTAACTTATTTTTAAATGGAAAATAATATTTTTGCACAAAATATTTATTTTAAAGGATTTAATGATAGAAAAATAAATTATTTAAAAGTTAGTGAAAATAAAAATTTAGAAAATTGTGATTTTAATATAAATATTCCATCTATTACACCAACGAAAAACATGAAGGATGAAAATGATTTAAGTAAATTAAATGTAGGAAACATAAATTCAAGTATAAATTTAAATTATCAATCATTGAAAAATATAAATAATGAAAATGATTATGTAAATAAAATTACAAATCCTTTAAATTTTAATCCAGTTCATAATAATGTATACCCAAATAACAATTTGTTATATATTAATAATAATTTAAATAATAATATAAGTAGTAATTTAAACAGTTCGTATAATTTTAGCCAAAATGGGCAAACTAATGAAATAAATGAAAGTAACTTAAATAAAAATATTTATAATGATATGAAAAATTTAGACAAAGTAGATCTGAATAATTTAAATGTAAATTCATTTAGCAACAGTAGAAATATAAATATGAAAAATAATGATTTTTTAAATACAACTGTAAATAATGAAAATCTACTTATAACTAATTCACAACAAAAATTAAATTATATAAACAAAAAAGAGAATAATCAAATTAATAATAATCAAATTAATAATAATAATGAAAACTCCTTGAAGCAGTATAATGTTAATTTGAATTCTAACAACTTATCATCACTAAATAAGAATATAAATGTATACGAAAATAAAAAAGTTGAAAATAATATAAATGAAACTATTTATAATAATATATATCAAAATAATCAAAGTAATCATAATATAAATAATACTAGGTTAATTAATATAAAAAGTAATTTAAGTAATTTTATGAATAGTGGTATTTTAATGAATAAAAATATGACAACACAAAATAAAAATATTTCATTAAATAATTATGGTGATAATATAATGAATTCTTTAGTTAACAAATCTAATGATAATAAGAATTTAAAATTGTTTGATAGTAATGTTAAGAAAATAAATGTGGAAACAAATAATTTAGTAAATAATAATCTTAATAAAAATATTTCTATAAATAATTTTACTAATGCATTAAATAATCATTTAAATAATAAAAATTTTAATCAAACAAATAATTTGACAACTATGAGTAATTTAACAACTTATAATATTCCATCAATTAATAATTCTAACAGTATAAGTACGACAATAAATAATACATTAAATAGTAATTTAAATAATAAAATGAATCTTACTAATATAAATACTCAAAATAACAGCAATATAAATGCTTTTAATAAAAATATGTTATTGAATTCATCTAATATAAATAATATAATAAATGAAAAAATTATAAATCAATTTACAACTTCTGGTAATAATAACAACTTAAGTAATTTAAGTAAGGAAATAAATTTAACTAATTTTTCAAAACCTAATAATAACCTTATAAATTTAAATAATAATAAAAACATTGGTGATAGCTCATATAAAGTAAGAGAAGTTTTAAATTATGATTATATAAATGATAAAGATAATATGAAAAATGTAAGTAATATAAATGAAGGAAATAAAAACATAATGGTTAATGAAACTAGTTCAAATATGAATAATATAAATTTTTTAAACAGAAATTTAAATTTGCTAAATCAAAACATAAATAATAATAATAATAACTCTATGATTAACATTGGTAACAATTTTAATAATAATAATAATAATATAAGTAATTTAAATAATTTGAATAATTTAAATTATATGAATAATATTACAAATTTAAACAATTACAATGGTACAAATGTTTTAAAAAATGACAAGGAATTAAAGGGAAATGAAACTAATATTGATTTAAATAAAGATATTACAATAAATAAAAACAATATAGCAGATGGAATTATAAGTAATAATATTAATCATAGTAATATAAGCACTGATAATTATGCAAATATTTTAAAACAATTATGCACACCTATTAAAAGTAGAACAACAAATAAAGTTGAAAGCTTAAATGAAAACATAAACTCAGAAGAATTAAATAGTGATAATAAATTTTTAGGAAATAATAGAGAAAACAGTAATTCTAATATAAATGAAAATATAATAACCAATGAAAATATACAAATAGACACATATAATAATACAACATTTAATAATACATTAGATGAAATGTCATTATTACAAAACAATAGTGCAAATAATGTTGAAGTAGTTTATAATGAGTTTAATAATAATGATACTAATATAAAATGTAATACGAATAAAGAAGGAAATAATAATATATATGAATTGAAAAAATTGAATTTATTTGCTGAAAATAAAAAGAGAGATAAACAAGTTACTAATGAAAGTAAATCAAATAAATTAAAAAAATCTAAAACAAAAGTTTTTTTTTATATTAATCCCAAATATATTATAGAACCACTAAAAAGAAAAATATATCAAAATATGTCTATTTACATTGAAAATTTAATTAGTGATATAAAATCAATAGAAAATAAAAATAGAGCAGAAATATTAACAAATTTGCATAACACATCATGGTTTTGTATGGTATTTGATTTTGATGGGATTAGCAAATTGTTAAATGTTTTTAATAAATATTTAATTTATTCTGATTCTTTAATTATTCCAGATGTTCTGATATTAAATAAACTTGAATCAGATAATAATATGATAAAAGATAATGAAAATAATGATTCTTATATAAAAAGTATGAATTCTTTTTTTTCAAAAAGTGATAAATTAGAACTATTGAATAAAAAAATATACGATTATGAAAATAATATAATTGAAAATGTAGAAAAATTAAATTATTTAAAAGAATTATGCAATTCTTTAAAAGAACAAGTTGGTATTAAAAAAAAAAAATTCTTATTATTACTAGAAAAAGCAAAACTAAAAAATTTTACATATAAAAATAAGCATTTGCAAACTATACTTGATATAGATAAAAAAACAAAAATAGATGAAAACATAAATTTAAATAACGAATATTATAAAATATTTAAAAAAATAAATGAAGGATTAAATGTCTTAAAAAAATATTCTAATATTATTATTTCAAATCAAACATTGCACAATGAAATTATTAATAATGATGAAAATCTCAAAATTTCTGAATCAACTATATCAACTGATGATTTAAGTTGTGATCATAATTTTAATGAAGAAGATGATATTAGTAATATGCATTTATCACCAAATAATAAACATAAAAGAAAAAATTTCAATAGTCAGGAACCCTTTCTAAAAGCTGATAACTCACTAGAAGAATTAAATAAAAATAATGATGAAATAAATAAAAAAAGAAAAACAATAAAACAAATTAAAAATTTGCAATGGCAAAAAGAAGATAATGAAGAATGGGTAGATGAATTTTTAGATGATTTTTAAAAAAAAAAAAAAAAAAAAAAAAAAATATAATTTTAAAAAGGAAAAGTATATTGTAAAATGTAATAAATTAATGGGAGTAAACAATGAAATTATATTACTTTCTTTTATTTAAAAATTATATTTTTTTTTTTTTTTTTTAAAAAATCAAATATATATTTATATGATAGTTAATATTAAAATATTGAATAAATTATTTATCATATATTGCACATTATTATGAAATTGTAATATTTTAATATTTTAATATTTTTATATTTTTTAGTAATATTTGTTGTATATTAAGAATGTTACTGTCAAACTTACATTTATTTATTTCTACATCCTTCTATAAAAAAAGAAAACGTTAAAAATATAATATTAATAATTTAATGAAACTGTTAAAATAAAAATAATAATTGATGTATTTTATTTTTTTTAAGTGTTTCATAAATGATATATATATGAAAATTAATATGTAGAGAAATATACTAAATAAGCTTTAAAATATATATATAACATTTATAGAATATTTTTTTTTTTTTTTTTTTTTTTTTTTTTTACATTTTTATTTGTTTTATTTAAAAAGAAAATTTTTTTGTATTCATAAAAATTAA